CTATAGGGTGCGTGTGCTCGCCAGACAGACAGACAGAGACATAGAGACAGAAAGCGAGAAATCACCCCCCAGGGGGGATGGCCACACCGCAATCCCTTCTCCTCCATTCTCCTCTCGGGATCTTGGGCATGCACGCACACGCACCCGGTGTGAGTTTCAAGCCACCGGGTCCGGGACACAAACCAACTACGTGGGAGTCCAGCGACATAGCCATTACGCTAACTGCTGGTTCCCACAAAGCTTCATTCTTATTTGTGGTTAACTTTCCTACGTTTGACTGTGGGCTTTATTTTCCAGGACTATAGTGTCACTTATGGTCACTGTCCAGAAATCACCGTGTACACAAGCTGCTGCTACTTTCCTACCGCAGCACAGCTCCCGTCCTTGTGGGCAGAAAACAAAAGATCTCTTCTGAGCATGTTGGTGGAGGTGAGACTTTCTCTTTTAACTAGAAGCAAACTCCCAGCAGTCTGGTCAATAAAAGCTTTATTAACGTTGTCTTAACCTTTTCCCAAAAACACGTATTATTTATTTTAAACTATATAGAAAGGAGAGTGTTGACCCTTTTATGTTGCCTAAATATTAGGTCATCAGGAAAGTCATGACACATTTTTCATTGCAATAAATAAATGCCATCCGTTCACGTGTCTGGAATCTGCTGTGACTTACGTAATTTGACCTTGTGGGATGTTGCAGGTTCTTTAAATTTGCCCATCACACAGAGTTGCTAGAGTGAGTGTACTGTAGTGAGAAAGCCATCATTCGAGGCACTGGAAGACTGGGTTCTAATATTTTAGGCTTTGACTGTATCAAAGTTCTCTTGTCTCCTTTCTCCACCTGTGCGGCTCTGAAAGCATTGAATGAGCAGTGCAGAAAGTCAGGGTCAGTGGAGAGAGAGAAATAAGTCAGTCTTGCGGGGTTTTTTCTGTGTGCATGATGCTTGTTTTTGGTCATGACTCAAGTTGTTGCTTCTAGAATATCTGACATTATGAAAACATAAATTTATAATTTAAATATCTTTTCAGGTTCACAAGGGAGTTCATGGACTTGTTAAAGATAAGACTGGAAAGCCAATCTCTAAAGCAGTCATCGTACTTAATGAGGGAATAAAGGTACACACCAAAGAGGGAGGTTATTTCCACGTGCTGCTAGCCCCTGGTGTCCACAACATCAATGCCATTGCCGATGGATACCAGCAACAACATTCACAGGTAGGAAGCCCAAATCAAGTAGTAGTATCACAATAAGTAAGCTCTTATTCTTTTTTTTCATTTATAGAGAGGGTTTTGCTATAGGGCATGTGCACTTGCCAGAAAGACAGAGAGAGACAAAGAGACAGAAAGTGAGAAATCACCCCCCGGGGGGTTGGCCAACGCCACAATCCCTTCTCCTCCATTCTCCTCTCGGGATCTTGGGCACACACACACATGCCCAGCATGAGTTTAAGCCACCAGGTCCAGGACTCAAACCACAGTCAACTACGTGGGAGTCCAGCGACATAGCCATTATGCTAACTGCTGGTCCCGTAAGCTCTTATTCTTAATAACATGTTTATTTTATTTTGAAGTTCTTATTAGAAAACTTGGAGGGTAAATAAATAAAAAGAATGACCACCACTTGACTATGATATCTTTCTATCCTTTGGCAACAAAAGGAAGATTTTTATAGCATTTTGCGTATTTTATATGACAGCGAATCTTGGTTTACCATAAAGGCCCTAAGCATATAATAGCAGGGGTATGATATGCCGTAAGTAAACTCGTTCGTAATTCTTGCTCTTTATCCTAGGTTTTTGTGCATCACGATGCAGCTAGTTCTGTGGTAATAGTCTTTGACACAGACAACCGGATATTTGGTTTACCAAGGGAGCTTGTGGTAACTGTATCAGGTAAAGAAATTTTAATTTTTAGACATCGAAATCCTGTCTCGACACTTCAGTTTAGAGTGGATTGCCTTCATGATTACCTGTAGCTAGTCATTTCTAACTAGCGCCTCCTAACTAAACATGATTTTCCCAGACCACTGTTCCTTATGCTCTCATGACTTGCCCTTCACCGTTTCAGAGGCCTTCTCTGACCCTGTCACCATCTCTGCCCTGCTTTTATTTTTCCATAATAGCACATATCACCACCTGCCATATATATGTATTCATTTCTTTGTCTGTATTTGATTTCTCCCACTAAAACATAAGCTGTGAGAGAGCAGAGATCTGCAACTCCAGAGTCTAGAATCAAAGTTGGCATGTAGTGGGGCTTAATCAAGAATTGTTGAATGAATGAATGATTTTCTTCACATTAAATAAGTTCCTAGGACTTAGACTTACATTATGTTTTTTCAAGATCCAGGAAAGAGGAAGTGTTTCTTTTCTCCAGGATTAATTTGTGCCATTGCTTGAATTCCTAAAAGGTTAGGAAGAAAAAAAATATATATATATAATATAATAACTCTGCTGTATTGTATCTATTTGGCACAAAAAAACTTTGGTTCATTTCTAAGTGCAATTTGGACTTAACACAATAACCAAGTTGTGTGAGGATCCTTACTTGAGAAAAAGTGGTATATTGGAAACTTGGTCCAATCATAGAGCCTGTTACAGAGTGTTTAAAAATTTCTTAGCTTGAACCAGGTAAAGTGTGAATAACTTACTGGTTAAAAATACAGAAACCAGGGTTCAGCCAGGGTTTAAATCTGCCACACATTAACTGTTGTGAACTTAATTTTTATTATTTTAATTATTTTTATGTTACTTAGACACTTACTTTGATAACCTTATGTACTAATATAAAACAAATGAGAAATTTTAGAATAAATGAAAATACATTGAAAAGGGAAAGTAGAAGTCCTTGATAGGTAAGAAACAGTTGCAGAACAATAAACACTAATTTTATTGTCATGAAAGGAAAAAAAATGTATACATACACATGCATATAGAAAGATCTAGAAAAATATTCACAAAAGAAATTTAAAATGATCTCTGGATAATGAAAAACATAAGTATGTTGGAGTTTTTTTTTAATTTTTGCTTACCTTTATTTTCTAATTTCACATACTGTACCTATGCTGTTTCTGTAATAATAAAAGGTTGTTCTTAACTATATGAAATAAGTGAGATATGCATATTATTATAAGTGCCATGGTAGGGGCCAGCAGATGGTTAAAGTGCTGGACTCTCACATGGCCAACCATGGTTTGAGTCCTGAACCTGGCAGCTTGCTTGCTCGCTCGCTCGCTCTCTCTCTTTCTCTGTCTTTTTTTCTCTGGTCAAATTAAGTAATAATAATAATAATAATAAACAAGTGTCATTGTCAGTAGGTGCTTATTCCTATTGTTTAAGTATAACTCCAGCCACATGATGGTTTTTGTTTGGCAGGTGCCACCATGTCAGCATTGATCCTAACAGCTTGCATTATTTGGTGCATCTGTTCAATCAAGTCCAACAGACACAAGGATGGCTTTCATCGGCTCAGGCAGCATCATGATGAGTATGAAGATGAAATTCGCATGATGTCAACTGGTTCTAAGAAGTCCCTCCTAAGCCATGAGTTCCAGGATGAAACAGACACTGAAGAGGAAACATTATATTCTAGCAAACATTGAGAAACACACTTTGCAAATCTCCAAACATAAATACCAAGCAAAATTACAGTTCCTCTTGGGAAACGCTATGTTAAGAAGAGATACTATCTTGCTTCTTCAAAGAGCTTCGGGAAGTTAACTTGCAAAATTTGTATCCTCTGACTTCTGGCAGTTTTGGACTTCCCTTCCTTAAAGTACTCTTAATCTTTAAAAAAAAAAAAAAAAAAAAAAAAAAGGTTTCTATTTATGCTGCAGAGATGGGTCAGCCACTCTTTTTTTTCTTGTTAATTTAAGATGAGCTGTTTGGAACTTATGTAATAATGGTGTAAAGCCAACTAGTAGATGTTGTATTTTGCACATCAAGTGTTTACTAGTGGCTTCAGCTTTTTTTCCTTTATTTTAAATGGCCAAAAGAATCCAGAAACATTAATGCAGGGACAGCAGTCAGAATCTGACATAAAGCTTTAAAAACTCAAGGTTTCCTCAACCTACTAAGGAGTACTTTTCTCTAGTTATTAAATAACTGGAGTTTCTCTTATTCAGGTTTAATGGAGGTTGGATTGATCTTTAAACATTTATAACATTAGGAAATGAATAAATGGGCTTCCGCGTTTGGCTTTCTGCCTGTTCCAAGGCTAGATCAGAACTGCTGGGCTGTGCTCTAGGCAAGATTTCACTACCTCTCTTGTAAGGCTTAGCAAAGTTCTAAACATCCTCATCATAAGGGAGAATTTTTTGACTGTTGTGACAGGTCTAAGTGTCCAGTTGAATGGAGCTGAGAGGGAGATCTAGCAGAAGCTAACTCACGTTGCCTATCTCTTGGTGAAAACACACAGGTGCTGCTGCTTTTATCTGTGAAGCACTAGTTTAGTCTAGGAATGCCAAATTCTTTAATATTTCCTAAATTTGAACCTTTTTCTATGTTGTACACTTAGGGCTTTCAGATGACCCAGCCATCTACAAGGTCCGAATTCTACCGAAAATATCTGGAAGTGTGGAAGAGACTGACTTTCTTAACCTACAATTGAACACAAAATTATACTTCGTGCTCCAGCCCATGCCTACTCCCTGTACTGGCATACTGTTACTGAAATAGCTTGGCCGGTCTTGTTCACACAGGCCTCTGAAAGTGATTGGGTTCTATTGTTTCATTTGACAGTCTTTTTGACCAACCAATCTTGTTCAAAGTTCAGTTGAAAGCTTTTGAATATGGCTCCCTGCATTTAAAAACATGTAAACTGTGGACTGCCATGTGATATAACATTGTGGTGTGAAAGTGTCTTCCTCACTGCCGGTCGGGCAAAGACCTGAAAGATTTGCTTTCTGTCGTGTCTGTCTTATCCACGCTGTCCAGTGGAAATGATGCTTCTGTAAATATGAGTATTACCAATGATCTAATGGCTTAATACCTTTGAATGTGTTCATGGCCAAGTTGCTGCTGAATTTCTACTAAATCAGGGGATCCAAAAACTTGCTCTCATCTTTTCAAGTTTTAGTCTCTATCCATCAATGTATTAGTCATCCTAAAGCCTTTATATAGACTGGTTTATCACCCTCTTGGGTCATTCAGTCAGGTTTTGTGAGGAATGCATCCAAAGAGGCTTTATAAAAAGAGATTTCACGTAGAAGGAATAATCAGGTTGTGACATTTGTTAATACATATCTGCTATAAATTTGGGTGGTTCAAAGTTAAGCCATTCTGGCATTAATCATGGTATTAGCAACTCTGAATCATGCCACCTCGCTCTCATCCCACCGCATACACAGAACAGAGCTTGTGGGATGCTAACAGTAAGTGAAATTTATATGATTTAAATTATTCTATTAATCCTTTACATTTTATTTAAAGGGATAATATGGTGTTATTGCTATTTTTTAGCTTTATTTTTAACAGTGCAAAGTCAGAAAACCAACAAGGGGCCTACAAGTGGCCAGCCCTGCTTGGGAAATAACAGCCAGGAATGAAACAAAGTTGATGTGACAGCTCTTGCTTTATTATTAGCATTGGTCTTCTGGAGGCCATGCCTTTTGAGAGTGTATAGTGGGGGTTTTTTTGTTTTGTCTTTTTCTTTAGAAATGAACATATAAATAGTTCTTTTAGTAATTGTTCCTGACAGGAAAACCAAATTCTGCTATAAATCTTGAATCTTTAATGAATTTCTAAATAATGCATTTAGCTAGAAAACAAGGCCTTTTCAGCCCGGGTTACCTATGAGCATGAATGTACAGGATCCATGACTACTAAGACTGTGTTCTCAGCCCTGCTCTGTCTTTGATTTGTGGATCTAATCTAATCTAAGACTGCATTAACTGCTTACGGCATTGAAGCCATATAAGATGGGGAATGCATCCTTCAGTGTTGCCCCAGAGACTTTCCATTTCCTTGGAGTCATGGAGGCAAGTACGTATCACAGTATTGAGAAATTTGCCCAAACCTGAGTTGTGCCTTTCTTTACTCACAAGGCATGGCTTTTTGTCCTGGTGATCAGTTTGTAAGCCTTCTTCTCTCCCAGCTCCTTAATAAAAGCAACGTGATTGAGTAGGAAATGTTCCAAGTGTCTGCCTGTCTGAATGTACTTGTCCTGATTATGGAATTCAGTAAAATAAGCCCAATTAATTTCAGAAGGAAAGACCCCTTGGTTTTGATGTATTTTGTAAAAACACTTGGCTAGGCCTAGAGTGGGGTCCTATCCAGTTGAGGAATGCTTGCTATTCTCATTAATGAGAAGTTGCATAGGGACTTCTGTCACTTTCTAGAATGGAAACATTGTGATTTGGCCCAGTGTGACTGATTGGTTCATCTTTGGTAATTTTCATATGAATGATATTTGCTGAATTGATGAATATTGAACTTAAAAGTAATTATGAATTGACAAATAAATAAAAGGCCGTGCTTATGTCTGAGCTTACTGTGTTTCTGAGCTAACACCAGGTTACTCAGTTACCATGACCTGTCCCTCCCCGACCCCCCATTCATTGATTTCCAGCACTAAACAGTTTTTTCTGTTTGTGCCAGGTTTTGTCCCTGCTGTATTAGAAGCTCCTTGGCTATGAATGCTGTAATAGTGCCATATGTTATGGTTCTCTGGTGGAATTGTTCTAACAGTAGCAACCCAGCATTTCCCTGCTGTTTTCATTTTATTGTTATTACTGAAAATTCCACTATGGTTGATTAATGTTCACTGATTTTTCTACCTAGCAAGCAACTTTTTGGGTATCTGATTTGTTTTAATTAATTCAGCTCCGGGGGTCCTTGATTAATGTCAGCTGAACTTGGATTTCTAGTTAATGAAGAAATCTCTCCCAACCCCCCGTTTCTCCTATTTTTAGCAATAACTCCATGATTCCACTTGACTTTCAGAACATTGTCCTGGCTGATTTTGATTTGACAGACTACATTATGAAATTTGAAAGTAGGTTTTCATTTTGAGGCAGTTGGATATAAATTATGTAAATATGTATGATTATGAGTTTTATAAATGGCATAACATGAGTGTACTAGCTGCATTCTGTGCTGGCCTTGCTGCAGATTTTCTGGAGTATGACATATGGTATTTTTTTATGCTCAGATTAAAAATCAACTTTCACATCTCCATTTTTCAGAGTGATCCAACCTAGCTCCAGAACAATCTATAGCTCTTCATTTGCGGTGCCTGACACCCATTCATCTCAAGTGCTTCAGTCTTTGGTTTATTTCATGCACTGTGCCTTCAAAATGAAATTTTTAAAAGGGACTTTCAATGAAGTTGAATAGTAGTTTTAAAAAGTCAATCTGTGTAATTTATGTGAAATCTAACTGTAATGAGGTCCTTTCTGTTTTTTATATGTAAACGGATCTACTAATCCTGTATAAAAGTTATTTTATGATGTTTGTCTTTGTGTTTTGTCTCATAATCTATTTTTTCCCCCAAAAGAATAGACCAGAAAAAAGTTAGGGATTTAGTTTTTCTACCAGAACATGGGGAAAGGAGTTCCAGACTTAGGGTGCTATGTGTAGAATTTATTTATTTTTTTGAGAGGTTTTCGCTATAGGGCATGCGCTTGTCAGAAAGACAGAAACAGATAGAAAGTAAGAAATCACCCCCCAGGGGGGATGGCCACGCCACAGTCCCTTCTCCTTCGTTCTCCTCTGGGGATCTTGGGCATGCACGCACACGTGCCCAGTGTGAGTTTAAGCCACTGGGTCCAGGGCTCGAACTGGGGTCGACTACATAGACATTGAGCAACATAGCCATTACACTAACTGCTGGTCCCTTGGCCACATTCTTGATACTGCTACTCTAACAGAAATTGGGAAAACAAAGTTCTATAAGAAATATGACCTGTGCTGACCAGGAACTCATTGTCCAAGTCAGAGAAATAAAAATGGAAATAAGCTGTACTTCAGTAGTGATTATTAGGTCCTCTGAAAAGAAAACCTCTGCTGTAGAGGAACGAGAACACAGGGATCTGAGCATGGACATTGGAGTTGGGCCAGTCTGTGGCAGATTTACAGCTCTGCCACTTGCTTCCCGTGTGACCATGTATTGTACAAGCGTCTTAGCGTTCTGAGTCCCAATTTCTCTACTGGAAAAGGAATGACCTTGGTAGGATTGTCGTGGAAACCAAATGAAATGTGAGCAAAGGGCCCACCATAATATTTCACTCCGAATTGAATGCCTTAGTCACCAACATCATTTTCCTTCACTTGCTGTTTTTTGCTCCCTTTGAAAGAAAGTTATTTTATCAAATGAATGAACCAAGATCTGTTTCTAAGTGATCCTTTTTGTTTAGGAGACATCCCTACATGTGAATACTAAAAACAAACAAAAAAGACAAGCTATTTCCTATTATGTGGTTCAGTAAACGTTTAAAAGCGTGGCCGTAAAGTTTTAATTGTGCCATTTTATATTTGTGTTTAAATGAAATTAGATTGTATTTATGCTTCTTCAGTGAAAACAGCCCTGTTAATTACCCTTATTTGGTCATTACACATTGTATTTATGCTTCTTCAGTGAAAACAGCCTTTTAACTGCTGCAGAAGTCTGACCAGTGATAATGGTTCCTTTCCTCTCCCTGTTTAAAGTATTTTTATGAATTTTCTCAAGTTTTCTCAGACCTGAAGCAAGAAAAGCAAGAACCCTTGTGGTTTGTTTCATGAACAGTAACCTACTCACTGTATCCAGTTTTTCAGATTTCTGAGAGCGGATTGTTCTCAGCAAAGTAAACGTGAGGCGAATCCCACTATCCATTCTAAGTGCCATTGTCTAGGTCTCCATCTCTTATTCCCACCTGCAGTTGGAATGCCATCTGATTCTACGCCATTTATTGTAGACCTCGGATAAATTTGCCCTTAATTATCACCCGCAATTTGAAAGCAGTGAATTCAGCAGCTAAATCCCAGATAATTAACTTTAGTATCACATTTCCACCTACAGCAATCAGAATGTTATCTGTTAGGTGCTATTTCTTTGGCATTTTAGCTGAGGTCGGATGGAATCTTATTATTTTCTGTAACTGTGTAAAAAGGTGTAGATGAGGTGAGCAAGACCGAAATCGGCTGGAATAGAGCGGGGTGCAAGTTCAGGGGTCAGCCTGGGAGAAGGAGGAAGACAGAAGTGTAAGGAGATTTACTGGGTAGATTGAAGGTATGGTCATTAGAAGCTAAGAAATCGATTCATTCCATTAGAAAATATGATGAGGCGGTGATAAGGTCAGAGCCATAGGTGGAAAGGAAAAGCAGCAGGCAGAGAAATCTAAGATGGAACATAGAGAAACAGCACAGATTAAACAGCAGTTGTTATGACAACATAGATTATATTCTGTGATTGTCATGGAGGGAGAACCATGGCCTAGTCTGAGAGATCTGAATCCCTACTGCCTGGAAACATTTGAAGTTACTCCAAATTGATATTTATTGTTTCTTACTATGTATCATAGGGTTCCTAGTAGATTTCAAGACCAAACCAGCTGATAATTTAGAGTCTTACAGTGAGGTGCCTATAAGAATGAATCCAGGGACCAGCAGGTGGCGTGGTGGTTAAGGAACCTGACACTCCCACATGGCTGACCATGGTTTGAGTCCTGGACCTGGTGGCTTGCTTTCTCACTTTCCCTCTCTCTCTCTTTGTGTTTCTCTCTGATCAAATTAAAATAAATAAAATAATTCTTTAAAAACAAAAGAATTCATCTGAAAACTAAGGGAATAGAATAGCTAGAGAGTGGGCAGGTTATGGTGATAATTGAATTGGAAGATTGCTGGATTTTTCCCCCCTGAAATTGCAGAGAAAAAGAAACAGCCACAACGGGGTCCTCATGCTTAGGTAGACCTAGGGACAAACCTGAAGCCTTCTGTGGCCTCCACCAACACAGCAGTGCCCCTTCTTCCTGTACCACCATAGCTGGGCCAGATCAGTGGATTTCAAAAAATAATCTTAGAATAGGTTTAGATTTATAGAAAAGTTCTAAAGATAATAGAATTGGGCCTCCAGATTTTTATGTGAAGGATGTGGGTGTTGGGAAGAAAAAGAAGGATCATATAAACAGTTGTCTACTTACCAGGACTTGAACACATTTGAAAGAGGCGCTGGGAATAGGGGAAAGGGTGTCTAGAACCAGTCTGCAATTAGTTCCAGGTCACCCACTGTGGTACTGTTGTTAGGTGCCTGAGTTAAGCTTCTAGTGGACAATATCTCCATTCTGGAATTGGGAGATCTTGCAATGTCTTATCCGTTAACAAAGAGCAGAAAAGTTTCCACATCTTTTTCAGATCTTGACATTATCAAACACTGGAAAACAAGTTCCTAGACTTAAATGTTTTCAACAACAACAAAAAGGATAAACCTGAGGCTATCCCAGAAAGCTATAAATGGGGCATGATGGTTAAGGTGGCTGGATCTCACATGGCTGACGTTCAGGCTCAAGTCTCGGACCCAGCAGCTTATAAAACACACTGGGTGTGTGAGCATGTGTGCCCAAAATCCCAAAAGGGAAACGGAGGAGAAAGGATGGTGGTAGCATGGCCATCCCCTCTAGGGGGTGATTTCTCTCTTTTTCTTCCTGTCTCCATTGAACACATGCACCCTGTAGCAAATTGAAAAAAGAGAGACAAGAGAAAGAAGAAAGCTAAGTATTGGGTTTTTGGAAAAGTCATGACGTATTCTTCTTGGGTTTTTTTTTTTTCTATACAAAAATCCATCATGACTTTTCCAAGGATCCACTAACAGCAAGACTTCTGGAAATGAAAGTGCAGAAACGACCTGGGTAATTGTCGTGGCAGACTGGGCACTGAGAAGCCGTGAAGTAGAAGAGTCATAGAAAGTATCTCTTACACAGCACAGAGACAAAAGGGTAGAAAATATGAAGGAAAGGGAGGGTGAACAAAACAGATTCCACGTAAGACTCACACATGTTTGACAATCAGCATTCTAGAGAAAAGAAGAACGGATTATAGGAAACTATTTTAAGAAATGATGAAAATCTTCCCAAATTGATAAACGATATCCATCAACTGATTAAAGAAACTCCATTCAACCAAGAAAAAGTAAACGTTCTCAGACACATCAGTGAGACTACTAAGCACCAAAGACCAAAGAAAGTAAAACAGAGAAAATAACCTAAAAAAAAAAAAGAGCAGTTAGACTGAGATTAGACTCACTCCCAACAATGGAAACCAAAGTCTGGTCAAACTATACTTCGGAAGTGCTGAGGAGGGCTGACTCTGCGCTCTGGTGGTTAAGGTGGTTTGGTCTCACATGACCAACCATGTAGTTCAAGTCCCTTACCTGGACATTTGAGGAAACATGCCAGGAGTGTGTGCGTGCATGTCAAAAGTTCTGAAAGAAGGGGGAGGTGGAGAAGGGCTTAGCGGCATGACCATTGTCCATGGCGGGGGTATTTTCTCCTCTCTCTCTCAAGATAGCACATGCCCTCTAGCAAAAAAAAAAGGGGGGGATATTTAAAAACTTCCAACATAGAATTCTATATTGAACATGTTTTTCAAGAATGAAGGTGAACTCCCAAGTAGCTGAAAACTGGTGGCAGCCTAGCTCCCTGCCTCCCAGTATTTCACTGCAAAATAATGAAAACTAAAAAAGGAAGGGAAAAGTAAATCTATACAGAAATCATACTCTTGGCATAATTTGAAATCAAAGATATTTATTTATTTATTGTTAGAGAGCTTGTTTACTTGCCAGAGAAAGCACCCCATGATGGGACATGGTCATGCCCATGGTGTTTTTCAAGATGACAAGGTCAGGATTTGAACTGTGGTCAGCCATGTTGGGATCCAGCTCCCAGCCTGCTTACCCATTGTGCTGAGGGCCAGTGCTAAAGTTAGAAAATTTTGAAACTTGCAAGTGTGAATGAGATGAGAAAAGCCCAATTGCATTGTGCCCTTTCACAGGCCCGCCCCACCCCTACCCAGGGCTCAGTGGCACAGAGGCAGGTGGTGGAGAGAAACCACAGGAAGACAGAGATGCCCGCAGCAGAGGTCATGTGCCAACGTTGGCCTAAAACAACTGCCAGGAAGACCAAGGCCACTAAGTCTGAACAGTCTTCCCAAAGACATGCCCAAGCAGATCGGAGCACGCACCAGAGGAAACGGCTTCAAAGTGAGCCCAGCTTACAGCCGGCAGGTGTGATCAAAAGGGGCTGTCTGAAATACTTATTTTCTAGTGAATGAAAAAAGAAAAGGAAGAAGAAACACCCTTTCACAATTAGGTGATAGAAGAGAAAAGAAGTAAAAGGGTAACATTTAGAGTTCTGTAGTTAAATGGAAACTACAAAATAGGAGCAATCATAACCCTTCATCATCACCAAAACAACGAAAACCCACTTAAAGTATTTGAACTTTGTTGACAAAAAAGACCTTGGTCACAGAATATGAAAATATAAATAACAGATAGGAATATTAGTAAGGGAAAAAATGAGAGAATGAGATGATCTATGTAGAAAATACAACATAATCTACTGAAACAGTAGAAATATTAAGAATTTCATTCCCATTCTGAGTTGGTAGGCTGACTTGAAATAGATCTCAGTAAGAATAGAGAACTTGGGTTTTTAAAAAATGTCAAAACTGTTTGAAGGACTGGAGACCTACTAAGACGGGAAGAACTTATGGGCTTGAGATCCTAGACCAAAAGCAGGAAAGAGGTGAACGCGATAGTACATTTTTGACCCCGAGGCATTTGTTGATACCTAGGCGGTGCCTAAGAAGCAGAGACACCAAACACAGAGAGGCCAGGCAACAGATGTTTTAGGCAGTATCCCTGGGTAGGGAAAACTAAAGTGACCACAATTAAAATGAAGAGCTAACTATACCTATACCAATTTTAGCAAACATAAAACCCCTCCTGTATTAGTTCTACCTCGTACTGGATTAAGCAGACCTGCCCCAACATGAACTGCCTGCAAGAGGAAGTAGCAAACTCTCCAGAGCAAAATATCAGCCAGAGCCTCAGAGAGTTACTACAACTCTCCCTCAATCCCCGTAAAGTTTATTCATTGTAGGGCCAGCAGATGGCATGGCTGGATTCCCATATGGCCAACCGCAGTTCAAGTCCCGGACCCACAGTTTGCTTTCTCTCTCTCTCTCTCTCTCTCTCTCTCAAACTCTGTCCCTCTTTGGTCAAATTAAAATAAATAAGTTAAATAAAATAATTCTTTTTAAAAAGTTTATTAATTGATTTTTTTCATGAGCAAGAGTAAGAGAGAGACAGATACCCCCAAAAGGGTCCCACACCACAATCCATCTCTGGCCAACTCTAGGTCGTGGGGATGTATGTTCAGGTATGTTTAAGTCCCTAGACTCGAACCCTGAACCTTTTCATGTGGATCAGCCTCACAGAACATTGCATTACCACTGTGCCACCATCTGGGCCCCTACTACAAATGTTTATAGTATCTAGCACCCAAACAAAAGTTACTCTTTTTTTTTTTTTTTTTTTGAGAGAGAGATTTTTGCTACAGGGCATGTGTGTTCACTAGAGAGAGAGACAGAAAGCAAGAAACCATGGGGATGGCCAGGCCGCAATCCTTTCCCTGTTCTCCTCTCGAGATTCTGTGCACATGTGCACAAGCGCTTGGCACGAGTTTTAAGCTTCTGGGTTCAGGACTCAAACTGCAGTCAGCCATGTGGGATTCTAGCGATGTAACCATTATGCCATTTGCTGGTCCCCAAAAGTTACTCTTATTATAAGTCAAGATCAAATGATAAAGATTAAGTAGAAAAAATAGAAACAGTCTCACAAGAGATATAGATTTCTCAATTATCAATCAAAAATTTAGAATAGTGATGAGTAAATTCAAGAAAATAGAAGACAAGATGAAGAACTTTAGCAGAGAATTCAAATGATTAAAAAGTTGAATAGAGAGCCAGCTCAACAATGCAACAATTAAGCCCTTTGCATAGGGAGCTGGATTCCACAAGGCCAACTGTGGTTTGTGTTCTGGCCCTGGCTGCTTGAAAAATATGACTCCGGCATGTATGTGTGGGCCTGGAACCCTGATGGGATAGAGAAATGAAGGAGGAAGGATTGCAGTATAACTATTTTGGATAACACGGAGCAAATGTATTTTTTCTCTATTCCTTCCACTAAGCACACCAAGAACTTCATCATTACACATTAAACAAAAATAAGACTCAGAAAAGTGGAAAGAAGCCCAACTGGCCAGGAACCTCGGGATCTAAAGAACATGGAGGTGAGCTCCATGGGATTTTTTTTAATACCTCATATATCCCATAATGGGTGCCAGAGAATCTAGAAACTGAAAAACGCCAGTGAAAAGGCCAAAGGAAAGCCTCTCTTCTTTAGATAAAGGACCAGGACATGGGTAATCTAATAAGATAGGATACTTTTAGACAATAGTTGCACTACTCAAGGCAAATGTCACAGAAAAAGCACCGCCCATCGCCACATCTTGCCAGCAAAGGCTGAGTGGGGAGCCTAGACCCTGCCCTCACCTGTCTGTAACGAAGCACCCCCCACACCCTATCTGGGTGGTATCAAAGAAGGCCAAGTGGGGGGCAGGGCGTTCACACCGCGCAGTAGTGCCATCGCCTCAGTGAGGGCCACACGGGGAGCAGTAACAAGGCACTTCCTCCTGCAGGATCACAGAGGCGGAGGGAGAACCTGAGCCTCCACTCCTCCTGGAAATGGAAGGGCAGCACAGTGTCAGAGGAAGTCTGCTTCATCCGAAATTTAAATAAGACCCAGAGTCTCGTAAGGTAGCTTCTAAAACATCCCGGATGCAACAACAACAACAAATCATTCACTGTGCCAGAAAATCAGAAAATCTCAACTTGAATTTAAAAAACTATCGCACTTGCCTAGTGGTTAAAGGAGTCTGACCCCACATGGCGGATTATGTGGTTAGACTCTTAACCCTAGAGGCATAAAAAACAGGTCAAGTGTGTATATGTGCACCCCAAATTCTGACAGAATGGAGAAACGGAAGGATGGGATTGCGGCCTGACTTCGCCCCACTGGGGGATGCTTTCTCCATCTCCCACTCTCTCTGACGTGGGCACGCACTTTCCGGCAAATGAAGAAAATGAAGAATAGGGGTCAACAGGTGGCACAGTGCTTAAGGCACTGGACTCCCACATGGTCACTATGGTTCAGGTCCCAAACACCATGACTTGAGACTCCTGCAGTGCCCAAAATCCTAAGAGGAGAAGAGAATGGATTGTCGTGCAGTCATCCCTCCGGGGAATAATTTTTCACTTTCTGTCTCTCTCTCTCCACCAAGCACACATGTCCTATGGCAAAAATCTAAAAATAGAAAAAAAAAGTAATAATAAAAATAATAATAAATAAAAAGACAACATACATCATCATCCAGATGACATTGATGTCAGAATTACCTGATAAGGATTTTATTTAAGTTTAGTCATTTCCTCCATGAGTGAGAGAAACAGAGAGACAGAAACCCCAACAGGGTCTTTATTATTATTTTTTAATTTAACTTTATTTATTTTAATTTGACCAGAGATGGAGGGAGGGAGGGAGGGAGGGAAGGAGGGGGAGAGAGAGAGAGAACGTGAGGAAACAAGTCGCCAAGTCCGGGACTCAAACCAAGGTGGGCCATGTGGGAGTCCAGTGCCCTTAACCACGCCACCTGCTGTCCCCCCCAACAGTGACTTGACACCTCAGTCCACCCTCAGCCTCTGCAGCCCTGGATCATATGTGCGTGCCCCGCTTAGAAAGGTCTCAGGGCACTAACCTGGGACCTTCCCATGTAGGCCACCTTGACAGAGCAGTTGCTTTTTCTTTCGTTTTTTTTTCTCACCACTGCCCAATTGTCTGGCATCTTGACAAAGATTTTTTTCTTTTAGAGGTTTTTGCCTTAGGGTGCATATGCTCGAGGGAGAAGCAGAGACAACGAGAGGGAACGTGAGGGATAGCCAAGCCACAATCCCTTCTCCCGGGATCTTGGACACACACACATGCGCCCTGCGGAATTCTCAAGCCATTGGATCCAGACTCGAACCACGGTCGACTATGTGCGAGTTCAGCGATGTAACCACACCACCATCTGTTGGTGTCCCCCACAAACATTTTAAAGCAATTATGATTTAAAAAAAAAAAATACTTTAACAAGCAATTACCAACTTAGAACAAATGTTGACAGGAGGCTCGGCAAAGAAATCGAAGATATACTGAGAAAGTCAGCAGAAATTCAAGGTCTGAAAAAATACAGTAATTGAAATAAACTCAGCAAACGGGCTCGGCAGCAGCACGGAGAGAACAGAGGAAAATCGCCTTTCCTCTCAGTGCACCTTAAGGTATTACAGTAATTATGACCTAATGTGGAGGCGTGGGGCTGGAAAGCCAGTACAAGTCCAGAGGCTCGTTTGCCCTCTCGTTGCTCAAAAACCGTAAGATAACAAATTCACCACCAGGTGGCGGTGTCTGCGGAGACTAGTCTATCCCATCAGCCCTGGAGCCCGGGGCGGAAGAAGGCGCGGACGTGGCTCTCTGGCCCACAACGCCTCTACTCTCCTATCCCGACTGACGTTGGACAACAAAGATGGCGGCAGGAACCAGCAATTACTGGGAAGGTGAGGGCCAGGCCTCCGGGTGGGTTTCCTGAGGGATAGAAGGACTAAATGAGGACGGGTCTTGCGGGAGGACGCAGAAGGAAGAGCCAGGCCCCCGGAGCGGCCGCACTGAGGGCTCGGGCTTGCCCAGTGGGATCCGTAGGGCCTAGGGACGGAGGAGACCCAGCGGTCTGGGGCGTGGGGCTGGCCTGACCCGGGCCGTTGTGGGCCGGACCTCGGGTAGGGTTGGGCAGAGCGGACAGAGCCGCGATGAGGGGAAGAGACCTGAGTGGCTGGAGTAGCCCTGGTGGAGAGGATAGTGGAACTTGGACGATGGGTCTTAGGGTACGAACTGTACGAAGAGGACTGAACGATAAAGAAGATCCGGAGCCGCGGAGACTGGAGGAGTCAGCGCTTGGAGTTGGGAAGAGAGAAAGGAGGAAACTTGTTAGTCCGGGCCATCGGGCGAAGTTTGAGCGGCTTGTGTCCTGCTAGGTCCCCAAGGCAGCTTCGGTCTGGCACTTGGAGGTTTGGGTGTTTGGAAGGCAGAGAAATCCGGTTTACCTTCTGCTCTGGAATCTTGGATCGGTTTTATTAGAAAGTTGAGCGAACCTGTGTAAAGTATATAATTATTACATTTGCTATACCTCGCCCACCAAGAAAAGTTCTCGTGATTTGACAAGTACATTTATTTAATTCCTGGAAATGTAGTCCCACACAGTGAGCTTATGTGAAACTCATTCCTGGACCATAGTAGTCAGCAAAGATCAGGAAATGCTCACCTTTTTTTCCCTGTCTTCTTTTCTTCTTGTCTCTGCTTTACTGCAACATAGGAGCTGCTTTCTGAAATCCTTTCCCCTTCTGACCTGTTCCCAGTTGCTACCCACTGTAGGCTCTGGAAACCACAGTTTTGTCACCGTCGGCCACTTAGTCTAAGAAACTTAATTCTAACTTGCCTCCCAGTTTAAAAGTAACTCATACTTATCTGTCATACTTTCAACAAAGCTTTTTACTGATGTTTTCTATTGGAGAAACAGTTATTAAAACAATTGTTAAAGTTACAGAGAAACTGCTTATAGCTTAAAACGTGTATTAAAATCCCCATTTGTGGGTATTAGCAGGTGGCGTAATACTGGACTCCCATGTAGTCTACCATGGTTCGAGTCCCAGACCCAGTGGCTTAAACTCACGCTGGGCACGTGTGCGTACGTGCCCAAGATCCCAAAGAGATTGCAGCGTGGCCATCCCCCCTGGGGGGTGATTTTTCACTTTCTGTCTCTCTCTGGCGAGCTCACCGGCCCTGTAGCAAAAACTTCTCAAAAAAAAAAAAAAAGTCCCCATTTGTGATCTGTGTACTAGCTAGAAAACATTTTAAAATTACATAAAAGTTGCTTTTGGTATCTTTAATACCAAATATTTTTTTTGAAGCACCATCCATAATAATGATAGCAGCTTATTGACAACCTACTCAGTGCCAGATGCATTAAGCCTGTGATTACTAATTCATAGAAAACCCCCCGAAGGTAGATGTTTAATAAACAAAAAGCTAAGGTTCATAGATAATGTAGATGGTCAATAAATCTCAGAGCCCATAAGTGGCCGAGCTGAGATTCAAACAGATTTGGTCTCTGGGCATGTACCCTCCACTGTGTAATTCTGCTTATTTCTTCTGGTATATTTCAAAGTATATTGAAATAACATTCAGTATTCTTTATCCTTGAAAGAGCAGTTCTTATACTATTCCTGTTTACATTTCAACCCTTTTATTTTAACCTCCATTTCACCATGAATAAGTACTCACATCTGTGTGTGAGTTTTCAGGTGTGTCTTGTCTTACTCAGTACAGTACCAATTTCTCTGCTTGTTTTTTTCTGCTTTAACATATTTGGCTCTTACTTCTGTCATATGCATATGTGATCTTGGTAGGAGCACATTGGGTATTCTTAGTTTTAAGTTAGCTGGTAAATTCATGCAGTGCTGATCATAAACCTTATTCCATTCCTTTGTGATACATGTTCTCTCGTTTTCCTCTGAATTACAGAATTTTAGCTGTTGCAGTAGAAATAATTTCAGAGATGTTAAAACAGCATTTGTTATCTAGTTGTCTGTGGAAATGTCACATCTCCCCTTGCTACTTCCTTTCTTACCTGTATGAGGTTTAATAAGTGACTAATTTGCTTTCCTAGGTAAGCCTTTGGTTTTCTCCTTTTAACACTTTTATTTAGAGAGGAGAACCAGATCAATGTATGATTATTTTCTGAATTTATTTTCTTCAGAGTAACCTTGTGATTTTCATATCTACTGATGGACTTTTTGTGTCTAATTATCTTCTTTTATAAATTTGTTAAAGATCTCAGGAAACAGGCTCGACAGTTGGAAAATGAACTTGACCTGAAACTAGTTTCCTTCAGTAAACTATGTACAAGTTACAGTCACAGCAGTGCCCGAGATGGAAGACGCGACAGGTATAGGTACTACCAGAATCTCTTATGCCTTATAATGTTTTTAAAAGCATTAAAGAATAAAATAAATGTATAACTTTGGTAATTTGATCTGTTGGTAAAATATTGGTGTTTTGTTATTGTTTTTTAGTAACTGATTAAAATTATTCCTAATTCTTAAGGCTAGCGTTTATTTGAGATCCTTAGTCAAAAATTTTGACTATATTAGAAGGAAAACTGATAGGACTTAAGAGTCAGTTTGGGGACCAGCAGATGGCACCATGGACTCCCACGAAGTCCACCACGGTTTGTGTCCCGGACCCAGCAACTTAAAATTCACACTGGGCTTGTGTGCATGTGTGTCCAAGATTCTGAGAGGAGACTGGAGGAGAAGGGATTGTGGTGTGGCCATCCCCCCTAGGGGGGGCGATTTCTGTCTCTCTGTCTGTCTCTCTGGTCAGCACACACACCCTATGTCAAAAATCTCTTTAAAAAAAAAAATCAAGTTTGTATCAAAAGTAAGTGTTATTTTTTTTTTTAATAGAGTTTTTTTGCTATTGGGCATATGTGCTCATCAGAGAGACAAAGTGAGAGATCACCCCCTGCAGGGGGGTGGCCACATCCCTTCTCCATTTTCCTCTCGAGATTTTGAGTATGCATGCACATGCACTCCATGTGAGTTTTAAGCTGCCGGGTCTAGGACCAAATGTGGGTCTGGGACCAAACCGTGGTCAAATACATGGGAGTCCAGTGATGTAACCATTGTGCCATCTGCTGGTCCCTCAAAAATAAGAGTTTATAGTTAAACCAGTGTAAGGAAATGTGGCTAATTTGTTCACATTGTGTTTCTTGTGTGTTCAAATTGCTAAATGTTTCTGAGAAACTTACCCAGAAGTAAAGTGGACATACAGCTCTTCTGATGTTTACTCTAATAGAATGAATGTCACACATTATGCATTCTCACTTCTCGCTGTTAGTTGTTGAAGCTAGGGGTTTTTTGGTATTTAAAAAAAAAAAAAATGTCTTTCTACATTGTGTATATGATATTTTTTTTTTTTTTTTTTTTTTTTTGGGTGCATGGGCGCATTGGAGAAAAAGAGAAAGTGAGAAATCACCCTCACGGGAGGGATGGCCATGCCACATTCCCTTCTCTTCCATTCTCCTCTCAGGAGTTTGGGCATGCACACACAATCTCCTGCCACGTCTCTCAAGCCACCAGATTTGGGACCCAAACTGTGCAGTTGGCCATGTGAGATCCAGCTGACACAGCCACCGGCTGGCCCTCGAAAACGTATTCTTGTCTTTGAATCTTAGACTCACTTTAAATTTACACTCACTTTAAGTTACCTACTTGTTTTGGGACCAGCAGTTAGCGTAATGGCTATGTCGCTGGACTCCCACGTAGTCAACCGTGGTTCGAGTCCCGGACCCGGTAGCTTAAACTCACGCCGGGATTGTGGCGTGGTCATCCCCTCTGGGGTATGATTTCTCGCTTTCTATCTCTCTGTCTGTCTCTGTCTGTCTGGCGAGCGCACGTGCCCTATAGCAAAAACCTCTCCAAAAAGAAAAAAAAAAGAGAAATTACCTACTTGTTTTTAAAAATATCAGAATATATATAAGACATTTAGAAAGAGCTAAAGAATAATATAGCAGATCCCCATGCACCTGTCTCCCGTTTTAAGGTATGATCATTGAAATTTCCGATGGTATCCCACTTTCTCCCTCCCCATAATCACTATCTTTCTGTCTGTCTAGCTATTTATTCATTCATTTTTAGAGTAAGGGTCTTACGAGGTTCCCCAGGCTGGCCTCAAACTCGTGATCCTCCTCCCTCAGCCTCCTGAGTACCTGGGTACATGCTACTGCACCTGGCTCATATGTTTCTACTCTTAAGCAATTCATAGAATCCTACTGTAGTTATTTATTTATTTATTTGGAGAGGTTTTTGCTATAGGGCACGTGTGCTCGTCAGAAAGACAGAGAGATAGAAAGCAAGAAATCATCCCCCCAGGGGAGATGGCCATGCTACAATCCTTCTCCTCCATTCTCCTCTCGGGATCTTGGCCATGCACGTACACGCACCCAGCGTGAGTTTAAGCCACCAGGTCCGGGGCTCGAACCATGGTCGACTACATGGGAGTCCAGCGACATAGCCATTACGCTAACTGCTGGTCCCTCCTATTGTAGTTATTTTATAACTTGCCTTTTTATCATTGTATTTGAGATTTAACTATGGGTACTTTTAACTGGTATATTCATTTGCTGTTATGTATTGGGTTGTCTGGAAAGTCATGACGTATTTTTGCATAGAAAAACAAAAATAATTAATGTATTTCCCAAGGACCTAATGGTATTAAATTGTTAACTGTATCAGAGGTTTTTTTGTTTTTCTTTTTAAATTTTTTGCCATAGGGTATGTGTTCTTACCAGGGAGAGAGACAGTAAGAGGGAAAGTGAGAAATCACCACCACCACCACCACCACCACCACCCCCCCCCGGGGTGATGGCCATGCTACAGTTCTTTCTCCTTCATTCTCCTCTGACTTGTAGCATGCATGCACACATGCCTGGCCTGGGTCTGGGATTTGAACATGGTCGGCCATATGAGAGTCCAGTACCTTAATCATCTGCTGGACTCCCAACTACAGCATAGTTTAACCATTCATTGGATGGATATTGTTTTTAATTTTTGCTGAGTGGTAATAATTTTAATAGCTGACACAAAGGTTTATCATATGTCGGCTACTGTTCTAGGAATTTTATATAAATGCCATTGGGAACATTTTACATGGAATATTTCTGTATAATAGTAGTGAAATTGCAGGTAGTTAGTTATTAATCCACTCTTTATATTCTTTTTAAAAGTATAATGGTAGATAGGATATTTTTCATCTAATAATAAAAAAAATAAAAACAGCTTAGGTTTGAATTTAGGCCTTCCCATTCCTAGAGCTCACATTCCAGAAACCCTACCATAGTATGCATATTACAACAAAAGGCTCATTTAAACACTGTAGTCTGGGACCAGCAGTTGGTGTAATGGCTGTGTTGCTGGACTCTCTCAAGTTCCGGACCCGTTGGCTTAAACTCATGCTGGGCGCGTGTGCATGCGTGCCCAATATCCCGAGAGGAGAATGGAGGAGAAGGGATTGCGGTGTGGTCATCCCCCCTGGGAGGTGATTTCTCGCTTTCTGTCTCTTTGTCTCTTTCTGTCTTTCTGGCGAGCGCATGCGCCCTATAGCAAAAACCTCTCAAAAAATTTTAAAAAAAAAACAAAAACACTGTAGTCAAACCATTGCTCCTTTTTAATAAGGGCACAGTGTTTGTAAAGGTAACAGGCCCAATTGACTCTAGGACCTAAAAATAAGTTAGCATGTCACGTTCGGCATTGCTTTGGACTCACCCTTATCTAGCAAATAAAGAGAATGAAGAGGGGCTAGCAAGTGGCATGGTGGTTAAGGTGCTGGACTCCCACATGACTGACTGCCCTTATTGCCCCAGACTGGAAGGTTTGAAAATCACGCCGGGCTTATGTGCGTGTGTGCTCAAAATTTGAGAGGAGAATGGAGGAAAGAGGATTGCGGTATACCCATCCCCCCGGGAGGTGATGCCTCACTTCCCCTCTCTCTGTCCCTGTCTCTCTCCAGTGAGTGCACATGCCCAATGACCAAAACAAAACAAACAAAAAATGTTCTCTTTTATGAGAATAAAAAATAATAATTTTATTATTGGAAGACATTTTCTGAATTTCAGTCTCCCACTTGGCTATGCCAGCGAGCGTACAGTTTTTAAACTCTTTGTTAGGAGATATTGCTGCATGATGTTTTTTCTATTCTCTGTACTTTATGAACTTAATGCTTTTATTACTCCTTTTAAGGGAAAAACTATCTTGAAAACATTTTCTAAGCAGTTCTGTTACAAATTGGGACTAGTTCATAGAATTACTTCCGCCTAATTGTCTCTAAAATTTTTTTAAAAATCTGGAGTTGTGAGGATCATGATCCAATGTGCATTCCAAAATATTTGATGCCCAGGCTCAAAGCATGTCACAATGAATAAGCTCAGCAATAACTAGAATATTTCCTCAGGAATATATATTTTTTTAGCTTTCTTTTTTTTTTAAGAGAGATTTTTGCTTTAGGGTGCTTGTGCTCACAGGAGAGAGAGAAATAGAGAGACAGAAACAAAAAAATCTCCCCACCATTGGAGAGAATGGCCACGCCGCAATCCCTTCTCCTCCATTCTCCTCTTAGAATCTTGGGCACTTGTACACACGCACCTGGCATGAGTTTGAAGCTGCCAGGTCCATGGTTGGCCATGTGGGAGCCCAGTGACGTAGCCATTATGCCATGTGCTGGTCCCAGCTTTTCTGTATTTTAAGAACTTCAGATCTATACATCATCTCACACCTATAAAATAAATTAAACTGAATTTTAGTATTGTGGGAGAAATCAGTTTTTGACTATTTCCTTGGACTCATATAGTATTCTAAGAATGGTGTAAATGGAATAACCAGTAGTAGAGATTGACCCTCATTCATTCATTCTTTCAACAAATGTTTAATGAACATCTACCATGTGCCAGGCATTATTCTAACTGTGAGCCGGATATCTATGAATAAGACAGGCAGTTTCCCTGCTTGTGGAGCTTATGTTGTGTTGCTCCATCGTTCTGTTTCACATATCTGGTAGGAGAGGGTCTGTATTAGTGTACAGACCTTTTTTGCCTGGGCACATTGTAGGAAATAACAGAACCTTGGATTAGCTCTGACATATGATGTAAAAAAAAAAAAAACTAGATATTTTGTTACTATATTTTCAGGCAAATCAATTGAAATGTTTCAATACGAAATAAAACTTAATGCCTAGTTAAGTATTTTAACATAAAAATCATTATTAGCCAGCTTGTGATTATTTCACTGCTTGGGAGGGAAGTAAATACAGAGTGGGGAAATAGTGGTAGCTAAAGTACTTTTAGATGTTGAACCGGTGAAGTAATATGTTTCATTTTCCGCTCCCATACGCTGTCATGGGGCAGAACAGATCTTCAGTAAGATTGGAGAACATGTCATTTCTGGGGCAGAACAGATCTTCAGTAAGATTGGAGAACATGTCATTTCCTGGACTTTTTTCCCCCTTCTGTCCAGAATATCTCAGATCTGCATTTGGCTGCTTATATGATAAATACATACTACCTGGGAACCCGTTGAAACTAAGCAGTCAGTGTTCAGAAGTGGCAAAAGGAAACTCCAGGACATGCAGTTTTAGAATTTGAGTTTGTCCAATATAATTTTTACTTGTGAAAAGTTAGATTTTTGACTGTTGGGATTTGAAGAAGACAGGTCAACATGTTTTTGCAACACAAATGAGATGATAGCACGCCATAACTAGAAATGTGGGCCCAGCGGTGGTGGTGCAGCAGTCGCGCAGTGCTCTGCAAAATGGAAGCAGTGTAGAAGATCGAGGTTCATTCCCAGGTTGTAATTGTGACCTTGGCTGGCTAATTTCTTACCACATAAGACTCCGTTGAAGGTGGTTGTCTCTGTGTATGTCTGTCTCAAAAACAGTTAATTTTTTAAAGTTTAATTTTATTTATTATTATTTTTTTATTTGACCAGAGAGAGAGACAGAGAAAGTAAGAAAGCAAGCCTCCAGGTCTGGGACCCATACCATGGTAGGCCATGTGGGAGTCTGACACCTTAACTACCATGCTACCTACCATGCCCAACCTTTTTTTTTTAAGAGGTTCATTTCTGTGCCAGCGAGTGGCATGGTGGTTAAGGGCATAAGACTCTCATGTGGCAGATAGTAGTTCGGGTCCTGGATCTGGCAGCTTGCTTTCTCATTCTTTCTCTCTTTTCCTTTCTGGTCAAATTGAAATAAATAAATAAATGGATAAATAAAGTTAAATAAATTTTTTTTTAAAAAAAGAGATTTATTCCTTAGGGTATGTGTACTCACCTGAGAGAGAGACAGTGAGAGGAAAAAATGAGACATTGCCCCCTAGGGGGGATGGCCACACCTCAGTCCCTTTTCCATTCGCCTTCCATGACCTCGGACATGCACCCATACACACTCGGCATGATTTTGAAGCCACCAGGTCTGGGACTTGGTCAGCCATGTGGGAGTTCAGTAACGTAACCACTATGCCATCTCTTGTTCCCAAGATAACCTTTTATAAGAAAGGGCGGGGGGAATGGGGACTAGCAGTTAGCATAATGGCTATGTCGCTGAACTCACATGTAGTCGACTGTGGTTCGAGTCCCGGACCTGGTGGATTAAAATCATGACAGGTGTGTATGCATGCATGCCCAAGATCCCGAGAGGAGAATAAAGGAGAAGGGATTACAGTGTGGCCATCCCCCATGGGGGGTGATTTCTCGCTTCCTGTCTCTCTGTCTCTCTCTGCCTTTCTGGCAAGCACACGCGCCCTGTAGCAAACAAACAAACAAACAAAAAAACTCTCCAAAAAAGAAAAAGAAAGGGGGGAAATGTCGAGGGTTAGTGTTAGAACATGCTGGACAGGCCCATATTAGACTTAATATCCGTTCTTGATAACTCAATAGCTAGTTGTTTGATACATGGATCATTTAAATCTCACCTTTTTTTGTTAAAGACTCAGTAAAGAAGAAGGAATTTAAGGTATAAAGGGACAGAACGGCTTTGGGGTAAAAATGTAAAAGATTATTGTTCACAGACCCTGTAAACTAGAGTTTATTTTTATGACTCCTCTTACATACTGTACTTAACAGTTCTACAGTTTAATTGGATTGTCAGAAAAGTCATGACATATTTTTCCTATGTAACAATGCATCATGACTTTGAACAATCCGATATTTCATGAAATTTATTCCCTTAGATTTGGAGCTTAATTGGGCATAGCTTTCGCTTAAGTTACTTTTTGTTATTTAGAAAACAGTAGGCAAGCATTTGGAATTTATGTTACTAAGAATGCATGTAGTAAAATTTGGAAAACATCTTACCTTCAGTTATATTTTATAATGAATTTAATATTATAGAACATGTGTGACCTTTATGGGGTAACTTCTATAAAAATCATAATTTCAGGGCTAGCAGGTGGTGTGGCGGTTAAGGCACTATACTCCCACATTGGTGACCGCAGTTCCAGGCCCAGATGCAGTGTTTTGAACATCACACTGGGCAGGGGTGCACGTGTGCCCAAAATCCAAGGAGGAGAATGGAGAAGAAGGGATTAAGATGTGGCCATCCCTCCTAGGGAGGTGATCTCTCACTTTCCCTCTCTATGTCTCTCTCCCCTCTCTAATGAGCACACGTGCCCTATGGCAAAAACAGAATATCTCAGGACCAGCAGATGGCGTAATGGCTACATTGCTGGACTTCCATGTAGTCCAATGCGGTTTGAGTCCCGGACCCAGTGGCTTAAACTCACACTGGGCATGTGTTTGTGTGTGACTGAGATCCCAAGAGGAGAGTGGAGGAGAAGGGATTACCATGTGGCCTCCCCTGTGGGGCGGGGGGGGGGATTTCTCACTTTCTGTCTCTCTGTCTCTCTCTTTCTGGTGAGTATACGTGTCCTGTAACAAAAACCTCTCAAAAGAAAAGAAAAGAAAGAAATGGAATATCTCTGGGGACCGGCAGGTGACATGGTGGTTTAGTTTACGAGACTCCCACATGATGGCCGACTGCGGTTTTAGTCCCGGACCTGGCAGATTGCTTTCTCACTTTCTCTCTCGTCAAATTTAAATAAATTAATTAAGTTAAATAAAATAAGTGTTTTTTTTTTTTTAAGAAATACTATATCTCAGAAGTTCTACTTGACCTCTTTAAGAATAATTGCTTTATTGTTTTAAGTATGTTTTAAAGACTAGATTTGAGTAATGGATTTCCTTCCATTGAACTTCTCTTTAGTTCTGACACAACACCCCTTTTGAATGGATCGAGCCAAGACAGAATGTTTGAGACAATGGCAATTGAGATTGAACAGCTGTTGGCAAGGGTGAGTGCTATCTGTTAAGTGGTTATTTTGTTAATAACTGCTTACTTGTTAGATGCATGCTGGATTATATTAATGCAGACATGTTTATTGAACTTAGTCAGTCAAGATTTGTGCCTCCCAGGCCACTTGAATTTTGATGACAGCCATTTACAAATCATGTGGGTGCTAGTTTGGCCTTTATGGATTATTTGGGAGAAATGCTGAATCCTCGCCTGTTTTGTTTTGTTTTGCTGTTAGACAAAAGGCAGATAAAGGTATGAAAGCAGATCATTTGCTTTCATCTGTTTGTTGTGCTTCCTAAAATAAATCTTTTTAAATTTTTTTTTCTAGCTTACAGGGGTAAATGATAAAATGGCAGAATATACCAACAGTGCAGGTGTCCCTTCCTTGAATGCAGCTCTAATGCATACGTTACAGCGACATAGAGACATATTACAGGTAAGTTGTTGGGTTTGAGACTTGTTATTACAAGATTTTTTTTTTGTTTTTGTTTTAATCCCTGAATAGGATGTATACGCGTGTATTTAAAAGAACAAAGAGAAAAATCTTCTAAGAAGGTAAATGCCATGATATAGAAGTTTGTCTTGTTTTACTTTTTTTTTATTCGTATTCTTGAATTTTTAGGGGGGAGATTTTTGGTATAGGATGTGGGTGCTTTGCCAGAGAGACAGAAAGCAAGAAGTCACTCCAAAGGGAGATGGCCATGCCACAATCCCTTCTCCTCTTGGGATCTTGGGTACGCACATATACGTGCCCAGCATTAATTTTAAGCTGCCAGGTCCAAGACTTGAACTTTAGTCGACTACGTGGGAGTCCAACAGCGTGATCATTATGCCATCTCCTGGTCCAGGTGTTCTTAAATTTTTAACGTGTCTAATAACTCTTGCTTTTTCTCCAGTTAAGTTACATCTATTCTGGGAAACCTAACTAACTAGCTTTAATAGTGAAATAGCCAGTGGGCATACATAGGCAATAAAATGGTGGTTTAGAGTATATGTTCATCAAGGTTACTATAAAGATAACCTGGAAAAAGAGTAATTACTGTACTTGGTATATTGTTTGAGAAAAGTGTACTAATAAGATGAAATAAACACTTAAAGATTTATATGGGAGCTATTAAAATATAATAGTACAAATAGGTAGGCAAATATTTTTAATATTAAGAAAATTCAGCAATCATTTCTAATTTTAAAAACAATTTTTAGATAAAAACAGAAAGATACTTTATTAACCTGATGTAAACATAGTATATCAGTTTAAAAGTTAGCATTGTATTTGGGTAAAGCACTAGAAGCAGTCTTCCTGAAGACAAAAAGAAAAAGATAAGGATCCCCATAATCACAAATGTCTGTCATTATTTTGGAAGTTCTTGGTGATGTAGTTAGATGGTAAAAAAAAATGAGATATAAATACTACGAAAGAAGAAGCAAAATTCCTATTATGTGGCAGGATATGATTATATGTCTAGTACTACCAAGAAAATTGACTGAAAGAAGTTAGAAATAATGAAATTCGGGACCAGTAGATTGTGTAATGGTTATGTCACTGGATTCGCATGTAGTCGGCTGCAGTTCCAAGTCCCGGACACGGCAGCTTAAAACTCATGCCAGGTACGTGTCATGCGTCCCTATAATCTCAAGGGGAGAATGGAGGAGAAAGGATTGTGGTGTGGCCATCTCCCCTGAGGAGTGATTTTTCACTTTCTGCCTTTGAAATTTAGTAAGATGATGGCTTACAAAATCCATATATAAAAGCAAGTAGTCCTCTTACATACAAACAATTACCTGTTAGAAAATATAATAGAAGAGTGCTGGCTTTGTGGCTTGGTAGTAAAGGCAACCAGATCCTACATGGCCAATTACGTGATCTGAGTCCTGGACCTGGTGTCTTGAGAAACATGCCAGGTGTATGTTAGCGTGTGCCCAAAATCCCTGAAGGAAGAAGAAATGGCAGAGAACAGATTGTGGTGTGACCATTCCCCATGGGGAGTGCTTTCTCCTCTCCTACCTTTGACAGTCGGACTCTGTCAAAGGTACCTATCTCTGCCCCTTTTCTTTTCTCTCTTTCTCTCCCTCTCATGCTTGCTTTCTCTCTCTCTCCCCCATCCCTCTTCCTCTCTCCTTTCTCTCACTCATCTTCTCTCTCACTTTCTCTCTCCTTTTCTCCCTCTCATAATGGAAAAAAAAAATTAGAACAGTTGAGGAAGTTTGATTTTAGAGGGAAAAAAATGCTACTAGAACATAACAGAGTTCATATGTATTGATTTAAATAGGCATGGAAATTTAGTTACTGAGAAATGTTTTGTTTCAAACCAGTGGAGCAAAGATGATTATAAAATAAATAGAACTACCACAGTTGACCAATTATTTGAGGTAGGAAAAAAGTCTATCTCAACTCTCACACCCATAATGAATTCCAAATGCATCAAAGATTTATATGTAGAGGGACCAGCAGTGAGTGTAATGGCTATGGCGCTGGACTCCCACATAGTTGGCCGCGGTTCGCGTCCCGGACCCGGTGGCTTAAAACTCACGCCGGGCACATGTGCTTGTGTGCCCAAGATCCTGAGAGGAGAATGGAGGAGAAGGGATTGCAGCGTGGCCATCCCCCCTGGGGGGTGATTTCTCGCTTTCTGTCTGTCTCTCTCTGTCTGTCTGGTAACTGCACATGCCCTATAGCAAAAACCTCTCCAAAAAAAAAAAAAAAAAATTTATATGTAGAAAAAGAAACTATAATAGTTTAGAATACAGCATGAATGAAATAAAAATTTTGGGTTTGGGGGTTTTATTTTAACTTTTTTAAAATTTCATTTTACTATTACTATTTTTAAATTTGCTATAGGATATTGTATGCTCACCAGAGAGAGACAGAGCAAGAGAGAGAGAAAATGAGAAATAAGCCATCAGGTCTGGGACTCATGTAACCCATAGTAACCCATGCGGGAGTCCTGTGCCTTAACCACCACACCACCTGCTACCACAATATAAGTTTTTGAATGGTAAGGGACTTTATAACAAGTACCTAATAATGGAGACTTTAACAAATGACTAATTTTTTAAACATAATATACAGAGAAATAATAGAAATAAGTAAGAAAAAGACAATTGGAAAATAAGCAAAGGATGTAAACTTACTTAAAAAAAAAAAAATCAGGAGCCAAAGCCATGAAAAAGATGATCAGCCATATTCTCAAACAAGCATATGTAAATCAGAGAGAGAAACAATTTTTCAGTTTATCAAACATGGGGACATTTGTAACTCATTACTGGCAAGAGTATATAAAGTGGACACTCCTTGGGACCAGCAATTAGCGTAATGGTTATGTCGCTGGACTCCCATGTAGTCGACCGTAGTTCACGTCCCAGACCTGGTGGCTTAAACTCACGCTGGGTGCGTGTGTGTGCGTGTGTGTGCGTGCCCAAGATCCCGAGAGGAGAATGGAGGAGAAGGGATTGCGGCGTGGCCATACCCCCTGGGGGGTGATTTCTCGCTTTCTGTCTCTCTGTCTCTCTCTGTCTGTCTGGCGAGCGCACGCGCCCTATAGCAAAAACCTCTTCAAAAAAATAAATAAATAAATAATAAAGTGGGCACTCCTGTACTGCTAGTGTAAACAAAAATTGATACAGTCTTTCTAGAAGACAGTTTAGCACTATCAGAATTTAAATGTAAGATTATTTTAATTTAATATTCTACTTGACTTTAACTCTTTAAATATACTTTTTAAAAAGTTTAATAAAGTATATACAAGAATGTTTATCATGGTATTTTTGTATGCATGTGTAATTCGCTCGAAGGTGCGTGTGCTCTCCAGAGAGGAGTAGAAAAGCATCCCCCTTAGTGGGGTGTTCATGCTGCTTTGGGGATTTTGAGCATGAATGTACATGTACCCAGCGTGTTTCTCAAGCTGCCATGTCTGGGGCCCTAACCTTACAGTCAGCCATGTGGGATCCATCCACCTTTACCACCACACCACTGTCTGGCCCATTCGGCAGGTTTTTTGTTTGTTTGTTTTTAAGATTTTTGCCATAGGGCCTATACACTTGCCAGAAAGAGACAGTAAGGGGAAAAAGGAGAAATCACCCCCCTAGGGTGAGAGCCATGCCTTAATCCCTTCTCCATTATCCTCTTGGGATTTGGGGCAGATACACACATGTGCCTAGGGTGATCTTAAAGCCACCAGGTCCAGGACTCTAACCATTTAAGAATTCAGCACACCCACCACCATGCCACCTACTGGTCCCATTCAATAGTTTTTTAATAGCAAAAAAAAAAGGGAAAAGAAAACGGCTAAAATGTTTGTCAGTAGGAAATTAAATTATGATAGAGCCATAATTTAATAATGAATATGGTATGTGGCTACTAAAACAGTCATGTAGAATTCCATGTACTAATGTGGCAACTTGCTTCATATTTTATGAACTGCACAATACAGGATGTACATTAAAATATATAGTATGATTTCTTAAGTAAAAATAAACGATAATCCTTGTATATGCAAAAACATACGTCCTGAAAGAAAACAAGGAAGTGACAATTATAGCTATGAGCTAAGGAGTAGGGTTTTTTTTTCTTATCTTTATTCTTTTTGGCATTTTAAAAATATTCTCCCCATTTTTATGAATTATTTTTGTTTCTAAAAAGTCAGTGGGGGTCAGCATGTGGTATGGTGGTTTTGGAGCTACGCTCCCACAGGGCAACTTGAGTCCCAGACATGATGGCTTGAGTTTCACGCTGGGTGCATGTGTGTGCCCAAAGCCTCAGGAGGAGATTGGAAGAGAGGGCATTGTAGTGTGGCCACCCTCCTTTAGGGAGTGATTTCTCATTTTCCTCTCACTGTTTCTTTCTGGTGAGCACACACATCCTATGGCAGAAACCTAAAAAGAAAATAGAAAAAGTCAACAGGAACTCTCTGAGAGATAGGATTTTTTGTTTTGATCTTCTCTTAATTAAAAAAAAGTAGTGATAGGGGCCAGCAGGCAGCAGGATGGCTAAGGTGCTGGACTCCCATTTGGCCAGCTTCATGATTCGAGGGCCAGATCCGGAGACTTGAAAACCCAAAGAGGAGAATGAAAGAGGAGGGATTGTGGCTTGACCATCCCCACAGGGGATGATTTCTCACTTTCCTTTCTCTGTCTCTCTCCAGTACACATGCCCTGTAGCAAAAAGACCAAAAAAAAAAAGAGTGATAATTTTTTAATACTTTTTTTAATTGCCAGAGGGCATATTTACTCACCAGAGAGAAAAAAAGAGAGTTAGGGAGAAAGCACATCCCAGTGGAGGGCGATCATGCCACAATCTATCTATTCATCTCCATCCTGTCATGATTTGGGGCATGTATGCACAGGCGCCTGGTGTGTTTTTTGACTCTTTAAGGCTGGAATTTGAACCACATGGCTGGCCATGTGATATCTGACTCCCTTAAATGTTAGACAACAGGTTGATCCTTTGAATACTTTTGAAAAATGCAAAGTAAAGGGGGACCAGCAGTTAGTGTAATGGCTATGTCACTGGACTCCCACGTAGTCGACCGCGGTTCAAGTCCCAGACCCGGTGGCTTAAAACTCATGCCGGGCGCGTGTGCGTGCGTGCCCAAGATCCTGAGAGGAGAATGGAGGAGAAGGGATTGCAGCGTGGCCATCCCCCCTGGGGGATGATTTCTTGCTTTCTGTCTCTATGTCTCTCTCTGTCGGGTGAGCGCACGTGCCCTATAGTGAAAACCTCTCAAAAAAAAAAAAAGATTCTTTTATTCTTTACAGTTACCTTGGTTCTGTCCTGTGATTAGTTTAGAAATTAAATTTCTTGGGAGCTGGAAAGATAGGAAGGAGAGTAGTTTGCTGGCATTTACCCTAGCACTAAATTGTTTTAATTTGAAAGAACTTGGTCATTCTTCAGGAAAATAATTATAAATTAATTTTTATCTTTTGATAATTTGATTTCTTTTTCTTTTCTTTTTTTTTTTTTCTGTTTGTTTGTTTTTGTAATTGCCAGAAGGTGCATGTCCTCGTCAGAGAGAGACAGAGAAAGAGAAAACACCTTCTAATGGGGTGTGGTCATCCCTCAGTCCCTTGATCTTCATTTCTCCATCCTATGAGGGAACTTGGGCATACACATGCACCCAGTGTGTTTTTCAAGCTGCTGGGGCTAGGATTCCAAACACAGTCATTCATATGGGGATCTGGCTTCTTTAATCACCATGCTACAAGGCTAGCCTGGCAATTTGATTTCCTAAATAGTAGTTTTCTTGACAGAACTTTACAGTGTGATGATGATGATACATGGGGCTCAATGAGTGAAAATGTGTATTTAGTTTGTTGAGACCGAACTTTGATTTATTACAGGATTATACACATGAATTTCATAAAACCAAAGCAAACTTTATGGCAATACGGGAAAGGGAGAATCTCATGGGCTCAGTACGAAAGGATATTGAGTAAGTTACCTCTTCTGTTATTTTGTCCTGTGTTTATTCAGATTTAGCCTTAGAATATATCTATGGTTAAATGCAAATTAAGTCGCAAAACTGATTTAGATGTCAGGGTTTCTCATTTCTATTTCACTGTTGTTCGAATGTTCTTGCTACAATATTGTCCTAATCTACTTTGCCATTGCCAGTCTTAGCTCCTGTTTCCCCTAGTTTTATCATTGGCACCTATCAACCTTGACTTTTCTGCCTTAATTCAAGGTCCAGCTTAGATATCTTCATGAGTTCTTCTGTAATCTTTTTTTTTTTTTTTTCTTTTCAGGTTTTTGCCTCAGGGTGTGTATGCTCACTGGAGAGAGACAGAGAGATAGTGGGAAAGTGAGAAATCACCTCTAGGAGGGATGGCCCATTGCTAGACTAGCCGTGCCACAGTCCCTTCTCCTTCATTGTCCTCTTGGGATCTTGGGCACACATGCACACACACCTGGTATGATTTTTAAGCCACCGGGTCCGGGACTTGAACCGCAGAAAGCCACGTGGGATTCTAGCATCTTAGCCACTATGCAACCTACTGGCTCTCACTCTAAGAATTATAAATAGCAATAGCGGAAGCTGTCCTGATTACCACCCCTTCCTTATCCTAACGATTACATATTCAGGTACTATTCATGCCGCCTTTACTTTTCTGAATTTTTGAAGTACCTGTTTTTTCCCAGATTTAATACAAATTCATAGCCTCATGTAGGATTACTTATGGACTCTGAACATTTTTATGCTGATCTCAATCCATAATTTTAAAGTTTTTTTTTCTCTTTCATCCCTTCACCTCACCATCAGTGATGTATTTATTATAGCATTTCATGTACATTGTTGGGAAAAAAATTTCACAACTGAACATAACTGACAAATTACACAGGCACCTAGTTAGAGCTGAAGACTGAAGACTTTCCTATTTTGGACCATCAAATAGTTACCATTGTCTCATATGTTAAGTTTGTGAGACTTGTACTTTAAAAACTATGCTACACATTTATCAGGCCAATGCTGTAGCCTAGTGGTTAAGATACCCAGATCCCACATAGCTAACCACACAGTTTGAATTCTGGTCCAAGTGACTTGAAAAATATGCCAGGTACAGGTGCATGGGTACCCAAAATCCTGATGTGATAGAGAAGTGGAGGAGAAGTGATTGTGGTATCACCACGCCCCATTGGGGGTGAATTTTTTCCTCTCTCCCTCTGGTAAGCACACATGCCCTCCAGTAATTAAAATTAAAAAATACATTATGGTATACATTTAGCATAAACTATTAGACAGTGTATATGTTCTACAGAACATTTTTTGTGGCACTCTTTTGTTATAATAGTAAATTATAATATTTTTAGTTCTTTGAAACATGTAAGTCTTGCTTAATTTCTGTATAATTGACACATTATTTTGAGAAATGCATTGAGAACCATTGTAGAGGATGGACATATGGCATTTATAATTTGCTAGAATATAATCCACTGTAATAATTTGCTTTTTACAAAGTGATCGTGAAAAACCATTCATTCATTAAATTTTTTCCTGAGTACCAACTGTGAGTCAGATATTATGTCAGTTATAGTAGAGGGTAGAAATGAAAAGACCAACGTGATCCTGTCAGTGTGCTGTTCCCCTCTAACACAGGTGCCAGGGGAGAATAAGGCACATACTCTCTTAAAGTAATATAATACAAGGAGACTGACTAGTGAGGTGAGGTACAGCAATATTAATAATTCCTAATGTAATTTTATTGTTTTTATAATTCACATAGTCTTTTTTCTATGTATCCTCTCTTTATTGGCTTCATAATAATCTTTTGGTAAAGACTGAAATAATTAGTCTTAGTTTATGAAACTAGGTATTGAGTGATTTGGCAGGGTTAACTAGCTATTAATGATGGAGTATGATTTCTTTCTTGATCAAAATATTTTAATATGTTAATCTTCAAGTATGACGTTGAGTGTTTTGAAGTAAATGGCATTGTAAGCGTTTTCACAAGCACATTCAGAAATGTGTTTTAGGAGTAATAAAAGTAATTTTTCAGAAAGGGCTTTCTTAGCTTCTCTGAGAGTCAACATACAAGCCTTTCTTAGTCATCTTATAAGATTAACTTTGTTGAGTAAAGAATTACTTCATATGCTTGTTTGACCATGCTGTTTAGTTTTTTATTTTATAATTTCTTATTTACATTTAATTGTACATCTTTGTAGGTTTTTGTGTGATTTTTCAGATGTTCTTAACTTTTCTGTTATGTTTTAGGTCTTATAAAAGTGGGTCTGGAGTGAACAACAGAAGAACTGAACTATTTTTGAAAGAACATGACCACCTTCGAAAGTAGGTATTATAATATGTGTGTACTGTGTAGTTTCCCATGTTTATGAATTCATTTACTTCTGTATCAAATATTTTATTGTGTTTATTATAGTACAATAAGTACTTTATCAGTGATAATTCATTTAATTCTTCTAATGATACTATTCAGTAGAAAGATTTCAACTGTTCCATCCTTAATTCAAAATATTTTAATATGTTAATCTTCAAGTATGACGTTGAGTGTTTTGAAGTAAATGGCATTGTAAGCGTTTTCACAAGCACATTCAGAAATGTGTTTTAGGAGTAATAAAAGTAATTTTTCAGAAAGGGCTTTCTTAGCTTCTCTGAGAGTCAACATACAAGCCTTTCTTAGTCATCTTATAAGATTAACTTTGTTGAGTAAAGAATTACTTCATATGCTTGTTTGACCATGCTGTTTAGTTTTTTATTTTATAATTTCTTATTTACATTTAATTGTACATCTTTGTAGGTTTTTGTGTGATTTTTCAGATGTTCTTAACTTTTCTGTTATGTTTTAGGTCTTATAAAAGTGGGTCTGGAGTGAACAACAGAAGAACTGAACTATTTTTGAAAGAACATGACCACCTTCGAAAGTAGGTATTATAATATGTGTGTACTGTGTAGTTTCCCATGTTTATGAATTCATTTACTTCTGTATCAAATATTTTATTGTGTTTATTATAGTACAATAAGTACTTTATCAGTGATAATTCATTTAATTCTTCTAATGATACTATTCAGTAGAAAGATTTCAACTGTTCCATCCTTAATTAGGAAAGATACCGTGCTGTTGAATATGTCACTCAATCATTACCTGTAATGTTTTATTGCCTTAATGTGTTGTTTTCTATAGTAAGTCTGTTGCTCTAATACTTTTGTCCACTACTACAGGTTATTGAGAATAATAGTAGTAGTAATAATACTGATAATGACATGTTTGAAAGTCATGTAACCACTTATATAGGGAGAAGCTTTAGAAATGATAGTAAGGCCACATATCAAATCCAAAAAGGAAAATTTTTATTTTCCAAGATTTCAGAAGATAATACCTAGAAACTTGGCTATATATATGTGTATACATATATATTTTTTAAAGCAGGTCACCACACTATATTCCTTCTTTATTCTTCTCTAATATGTGCTAGTTTCTTTGCTGTTTTCTCTGTATTTTATTGTGGAATTTAAGGATCAGGAAATTATTTATTTCTGTAAACTCAAAAGAGTCTATAAGCCAGCCCTTGAGCAGCTTGTATCTGATAGCTAAGTATTAGGAGTTACGTTGATAGTTGCTGTTGAATACCATTAAGTTAGTCGTATCATGTGAGCTTATCATGTACTGTTGATATATTTTTCTGCAAAAATCACTTTCAGGATAATCTGTTGAAATCAAGATACAGAAAGATCAAGACCTGTTAGAAACCTGGGTGCTTCCAGTATTAGAATCAGTTAATCTGTTGAATATTATTGATCGGCACAAGGGGGCAGTCTCTCCTAGAGTATGTTAATTTATAGTCATTCATAGTTTTGGTAGTCCTTCTATTTTTGATAAAGATCACCACAAAAAGAATTTTATATTGCATCCAAAGCTGTATAAATATAGTCTTGGGCTACAGAATAATTTTAAGGATAGCATATATAAACAACACAAAATAAAGATAAGATTACATCAGTATTTCTGTATATGTAGCCTCAAAAATAAACAGAAATGCAGTAGTTTATTTTTAAAAGAGCAATTTGACACTGGAAAGAGTATACCAGAGTAATTACATACATTAATATCCTTTATTTCATTACTTCTGAACTGATTATGTATTATAAACTTTATTATTATTATGTATTATAAACTTATATGAGATTTTGCATATAATTATTTTAATTATTCATAGTAAATCCTTCAGGAGTTCACTGTTGTTCACTATACAGGAGACAAATGAAGTGATTTAAGTACATGCATCTTAAATAATTTGTTTTGGGTTATAAAATAATGAGAAGATAGAAATCAAACGTTATTGGGACCAGCAAATGGTGTAATGATTACGTCGCTGGACTCCCAAGTAGTCGACTGTGATTCGAGTCCTGAACTAGCAACTTAAAACTCAACGCCAGGTGCATGCGCATGCCCAAAATCCCAAGAAGAGAATGAAGGAGAAGGGATTGTGGGGTGGTCATGTCTCCTGGGAGGTGATTTCTCACTTTCTGTCTCTTTGTCTCTCTTTATTCTCTGGCAAGCACACACACCTTATAGCAAAAAAAACTCTCTTAAAAAAAGTTATTTTTCCATTTACATTTGATCAAAGTACAAAATCTCAGTCAACTTTATGTATGTTTTATGTTCTTTCTAACATTCTTATAAAAAATGTTTTTCTGTGCTAATTCTGTATAGAGAGAAACTGAGATGGGATGAAAGTGAATCAAATAGAGCTTCTGATGAATTAGAGGAATTGTTGAGACTAAAAACAAGGCCTTCATCATTACTCTCAATGTTAGAACACACAGCTTCCAAGGAACTTTTTTAAAAATTCACTCTTGGGACCAGCCGATGGTTACGTCACTGGACTCCCATGTAGTCAACTGTGATTCAAGTCCCAGACCCGGCAACTTAAAACTTACACTGGGCATATGTGCAGGCATGCCCAAAATCCCAAGAGGAGAATGGAGAAGAAAGGGTTGTGGTGTGGCCATCTTCCCCAGGGGATGATTTCTTACTTTCTGTCTCTCCAGTGAACGTATGCACCCTATAGCAAAAATCTCTCTCTGAAAAAATAAATTCAGTCTTTTTGTGCAAATTACAGATACTTGCTAGGTGATAACAAAATTATCAGCTAATATATTTACGAATAATATGAAAGACCGGCTTTTCAATGTTGTTTTTATATTTTACTTCCTAACTACTTCAAGAATTTATGAGAAGTTTTTTACTAACATAATAAAATTTAAATCATTCATTAGTACAGATTCTGTAACATTTTTTATTCATCAATACATTGCGAGCTTTGGGACCAGCAGTTAGCATAATGGCTATGTCGCTGGACTTCCACGTAGTCGACCGTGGTTTGAGTCCTAGACCCGGTGGCTTAAACTCACGCTGGGTGTGTGTACATGCGTGCCCAAGATCCCGAGAGGAGAATGGAGGAGAAGGGATTGCGGCGTGGCCATCCCCCTTGGGGGGTAATTTCTCGCTTTCTATCTCTCTGTCTCTGTCTATCTGGCGAGTTCACCCGCCCTATAGCAAAAAACTCTCAAAAAAAAAAAAAAACATTGTGAGCTTTTTCCCATGTCACTTGATAATTGTTTTTGGTTTTTAAACAGTAATGCATATATTCCATAATACAGATAAACCATAATTTACATAACCATTTCCCTAATGTTGGCCTTTTGGATTATTTTCAGTTTTTACTGTTATACATAGAGAAGTTTTGTGTGCGTGTGCGTGTGTGTGTGTGTGTGTGTGTGTGTTTTAATGTAAGGAACATACAGTGTTTCATCTTAGAAAAACTTAGGTTAAATGGCCAAACAAAAAAGCATAAGGAAGTAAAATTAACCTGAAAGTGAGATGAGCAGCACACAATTTTGTATTTCATCAAGGCCATTTGTAATTATTAAGCCAGATTTGCTGCTAGTGTACTTTTTATTATTTTTTACATTTTTGCCAGAAGACACCTGCACTAGCTGGAGAGAAAGAGAAAGAAAGAGAAGGAAAGTGAGAATGCCTTCCCCATGGGGCATAACCGTGTGCCAATCAGTCTCTTCTCCATCCACTTCTCCCTCCTTTCAGGATTTTGAGTATACACACATATGCAACCAGTGTGTTTCTCAAGCTGCGGGGTCCAGGACTTGAACTGCATTTTGTCCATGTGGGATCCAGCTACCTTAATCACCAGGCCATAGCAGATGGCGTAATGGTTACGTCAGTGGACTGACATAGTCAACTGTGGTCTAAGTCCTGGACCCGGTGACTTAAAACTCACGCCAGGTGTGTGTGTGCATGCCCAAGATCCCAAGAGGAGAATGGAGGAGATGGGATTACGGCATAGCCATCCCCCCAGGGGGTAATTTCTTGCTTTCTGTCAGACAGACAAGTACATGCACCTTATAGCAAAAATCTCTCTAAAACAACAACAAAAAACAGGCTATAAGCTGGCCCACTGTACTGTTTATTTTAACCTTGCATGAGTAAAGGTTTTCAGTATCTAGCAACTCAGGTAATTTAATTTTATGCAGTAGAGTCAGACTTTTTACTGCTAAAAGTATATTTACATTTTTGGTTCTTCTTAAAATATTTTGCCATGTTAATACAGATTTCCACAACTTGGTCGAAAGTACATATTTTGGGGACCAGCAGTTAGCATAATGACTGTGTCGCTGGACTCTCATGTAGTGGATTGCGGTTTGAGTCCTGGACCCGGTGGCTTAAACTCATGTCAGGCACGTGTGCATGCCTACCCAAGATCCTGAGAGGAGAATGGACGAGAAGGGATTGTGGCGTGGCCATCCTCCCTGGGGGGTGATTTCTCGCTTTCCGTCTCTCTGTCTCTGTCTTTCTGGCGAGTGCACGCGCCCTATAGCAAAAACCTCTCTAAAAATAAATGTACATATTTTTGTCTTGGAAAAGAATTGTTTTTATGAGCTCCCCTGAACATATATATATATATATATATATATATGTTTTGTTTTGGGTTTTCTTGGGAGAGGTATTTGCTATAGGGCGCATGCGCTCGCCAGACAGAGACACAGAAAGTGAGAAATCACCCCCCAGGGGGGATGGTCATGCTGCAATCCCTTCTCCTCCATTCTCCTCTGGGGATCTTGGGCACACATTCACTTTCGGCGCATGTGCATGCATGCTGAAGCTCCTGAGAGGAGAATGGAGGAGAAGGGATTGCAGCAGGGCCATCCCCCCGGGGGGTGATTTCTTGCTTTCTGTCTCTCTGTCTTTGTCTTTCTGGCAAGCGTATGCGCCCTATAGCAAAAACCTTTCCAATAATAATAATAATAATAAT